ACTATCACGAACAGTCAAGTGAATTGCCCATCAAGAAGGTAGCACAACTGGGACTAGACCCCAGACTTTAATGCAGCACCTCATAGTAGTCAGATCAACTTATCTTGCTCCTCACACACTGAAACACCCACTGTGTGCCTGTAACCCTCACCCTGACGTTTGTCAGCAGTGCTGCTTCAGAGCCCACAGCCACACGGGGTGCTCCTGTGTGCAATGCACACACCGGTCGGCACGGGGTTATCCGAAAGGCGGCGAGAGATTTGCACTGAGCAGGGTGTTCTGGGAATAGATCCTGCAATGCTCTTTCTCTACCAACAGCACAGCATGTATGCATCCAAACTCCTGGATGGCTGGAGGAAAAGTCTGATGACTTGAAATAAACTAACAACTCGATATAAATCATCAGGAGTTATTAATCACCTACTTCTGCAACTATGCCAATAGGTATATTCAAAAAGGGATCATAAACAGCAATCTCAAAGCTGCTGCAGCCAAAGTTGTCTTTTAACATAGTTAAAATTGCTTCTCATCAGTCAGTTTTAACAGAGCTCAAACTTCACTCTTTTCCTGCACCAGTGCCCTGCCAAGGTGAAAACCAGCAGTTTCCTGGCAGACTGGCTCTTGCGTCTATCACTTAGACACAGATGCACCCATGGGGGCCACCATTTGATGTCCCGCTTGTTCCTACTCAAGGATACAGGCTTTCTTACTCCTCTTCACTTGATCCTCAGGAATCTGGGGAGGAGGGGGTTAATTTTGTTTTATTTTGAAAGGTGCTCAGTTAGCTGAAGTTATGGTCTACTCGCCATTCTATCAGTGCCATAGCACCCTTTCCCTTCTCCCAACTAAGAAAGGGCTTTCCATGGTGTTTTTGCTTGTTTGTTTTCCTCTCCTCTAGCAAGCTGCTTTCCAGCCCTCCAGTCCCATCTCCAAAGGGAACATTCCCATTCTTCCCTGCAAGCAGGTCCTGCCACCCTTCAGAGCACAGCCCTTCAAAAGGGACTTTGCCCTCCCCAGGTGAAATTTAGTACCACAGAATTCAACCAGTGTTTAGCACTGGGTTAAATGCCACACTCTTAACACAGTTATTTCCTGCTTTGAAATTCAGGAAACCTCTGGTATCTTGAGCACTACTGCACAGAAATGCCAGGCAACTTTCTTTTTTCTAATGCCACTACGTGAGTTCCAGCAGGACTCATGTTCCTGCCCTTCTGAACATGCACCGAGGCAGCTACTGGAAAACCTGCTGCCTTACTGAAGGCTTTCTACAAGGGGTAAAAAAGTGGGACATCTGGAGGAAAGCAGAACATAGTCCAAACAGCCTCCAAATCCACATAGTGACCACTCTGCAGTACTTTGAATGCTAAGATGACAATTAACACATACATAAATAAATTATGATAAAGACATAATAATAAAAATCAAGTAAGATCATGACTTTAATATCATAGACTAACTGGTCCATTTATTTCTAACAAAGATTTAACGAGTTATCAAATTCATCAGCTTCAAATTCAGCAAATACAGACAGGCTGATGCAACACTAAAACACTAGGTAGTATCTCTTTACTATTCCTCATTTAATTAATTCTCCAGATGGCTTATGTTAACTGGTCACAGGTCATTTTCACTTCTCCTACAGTGCTTACAACTGAGGACAGATAGGGGAACGCTTATTATATTGTAAACTATCATGTCACCCAAATGATTAACATTTGTGTTCTGTAAAACAAACAAGTCCAATTTCAGTGAGGAATTTAGGGTGTCATAACCTTTAAGTACTACAGGAAGGTAAATAACTGAGCAGTACTGAGCATAGTCCAAGCTGAAGCTAACCACAGAGTGGTTATTTCTGTTAATAGCTCCTAAAACCCTTTGCTCCTACTCAGAAGCACCCTTTACAAATTCAAGCACTATGCAAAGACTGCTTCTGTCTTTGTGTCTTGAGAGGAATTCAATTTTAGAAGCAAACCTGCATTTCAGTTGAACTGGACCATTGTCAGTATGAGAGCCTGGGCACCCATGGGGACCCGCTGGCCCGATACGGGCCCGGTAACCCCGCAGGGGCAGCCCAGGCAGCAGGCGGGCCGGCGCAGAGCTCGGCGCGCGGCTCCCCGCGCGCGGCGCTGCCTCCCGCCGCCTTCCCGGCGCTCAGTCCTTCCTGCCCCGCTGCCGGCGCAGCTGCTTGTGCAGCCCCGCAGTGAACCAGGCCGGGAAGAGATCCAGATAAACAATAACCCAGGAAAGAATTTTTATATGCCAGCCAGGTCCCTAATCCAATGGCTCGATGCTGGCCACCTGACAAGGCACACAGGCCCTGCAGGCCTGCGAGCAGGATGAGGGGACATGCGGGACAACCCAACTCTCTTCCCATCACCTGTGATTTTTAAATCCTTCCGAGGATATCAGTCTGTCATCTATAAGCTGTATCCCCAGCCGTAGCAGAGCAGACTCACAGCTTCACTGTGCCCTGAATGAGTCTGGAGATGCCCCTCTTTTAGGAACACACTGATCAATCCCAATCAGAATCCCCGATTTTGCAGCATTTCAACATGGACAGATTAATTGCTATCAACAATGTGGAAACCCTATGTTATCTTCCAGAACACTTTAATACTACTTTCTACTTTTTCTCATTGCAAACCAACCAACCAAGCAACAACTTCAAGAGTTACCACCAGCATCATTGCTTCTCTCAGCCCAAGAAAGATCCCTGGTAATCCCAATCACCAGTGCTCCAAGCCCACTGCAAAGCGACTACTTCTGGCAGGCAAACGAAAGGGCATCACCATGTACCAGCCAAAGCTCACAACAACGCAAGGAGGCAGCCCCACACCAAGCTCCAGCTCCTTCAGAAGAAGGGTAATAAGAAGCACATAAAAATTACCAGCTACTCTACAGTTTTTTACAAAGATTTCCTCAACAGTTAAAATAAGGAAGTGTACTGAGTAAAAAGTATGTCTTAATTGAATGAGTTTCTTTTAATTACAGAAAAAGCATGGAGAACTCTACTGAGGAATTCTGAAATTATGATATACTTATGGTATAATTCACACGAGTCAGCCACTTGGCTTAGTGCTTTTTCCTGTACACGCAAATACCGGCTTCGGTGGAAATGTGTTTGAAGCCCATCATTGCGGCCTTGTAAGGTATTTCAAGAGCACTTTATACATTAGAAAGAAGACAGCAGCTGACCTGCAGAGTCCATAAGCACTGGCTACAGCTTTTTACACTTGCAGCACAACTAACCTGTCATGTCAAGATATGCTACATCTTCCAGGAATGCAAGATTCAGCCCCTACCTTTCTGCAATACTCCTTTCACAATTACAGTCTTAGCACAGAAATATAATCTAAAATCCTCAGAACTCTGCATTTTATTTGTTTAGTTTTGTCTTACCAGATGAAAGGAGGAGACCAAGCTTCAATTTCCATTATGTAAGTGATATTGTGATTGATAATAGTTACTTAGATATCTTTAAGGGACCTGAACAAAGTACATCTAATTCTATTATTGAGATAAAGCTGCATATGTTTTTTGATTTAGTACTTGCATCCATGCAATGTCTAATAAGCTAAAAAAAAAAAATGTGGTTTGAACTGGAAGCTTCATTCATTATGTGGTTAGTTCTGTGTACAAATAACCTTTTTAAAAGGTTATCAGCTGTCTAAGCATGAGCTAGGAGTCTGTTTAATATTAAAATCTTATGTCTCTGAAGAATCATCATATGCTCTAATATTTTCTGTACATATGCAACTCATCCAAAGCTTTCCAGGCAATACCTTTTCATATCATCTGGTTTAAAAGGGAAAATAAAGTCATCTCCCATTTAAAAATTTACCTATAGACAGCAACCTTTAAGCCTTTCATGGCAGCTTCCAACTGCAATTTAGCAGCAGGCTCTTCTTCACTGAAAGCCTAAGACACACGTTCCCAGAAGAGCGGCAGGAGTATCCTGGAGTCCACATCACATGGACTGATTTGTTAATGTATGAAGGGCATCACCTCACCTCAGAGTCCAGTATCTATTTGGGACAAAACCAGCTCCCACAGATACCTGGCATAAACCCTGCTCTGCTTGTGAGCACTACTTAAGGACACAGACCTTGTACTGAAGCTGTGTATGGGTGCTGGGATATTAGTACCCAGCTTCTCTCTGCAGAGATTTTATATAAAAAACAAACTACACATGCTTTACAGGGCAGAAAAACATACTTCTACCTAGCTTTTCAGCTAGACCTTCCTCTTGCAGTAAAGGTAAAGGATTAAACAATTGTAACACAGACTTTGCAATACTGTCACACATGTCCAGTAAGGTAGCACACAAAAGCTACAAATTTCACTGAAGGATACTTAAAGTTATGATCTGCAACATGCTAGTCTGAAGTAAGCCCACGGCTTCAATATTTTTCTTAAAAAAAAAAACTAAGCAGAAGAGGACCACGGTAAGTGCATGTGCTTTGTAATGGACACTGGTTTATTCAACCTGATTAATTGGAATACAGTTGTTAACTGAAAAAGGAATCTGAGAAAAACGGAAATAAAAGTGCAGAATGGAGACATTGCTGTTGGCACAACACAATGGGAATGTGAAGGTACAGAGCCTGAACAAGTTCAATAATTAGACTGTTCTCAGGAAGAAGAAGCAATGTTTCTGACAGGGATGGCTCCACCCTACAGTGCTTTTCAAATAAACAGATTAACCATTTAAGGTCCAATATGGGTCACTCCCAGCAAAATTAAAGGACAGACCCAGACAATATTTGTCTGTCACTTCATGAAACAGGAATCAGCTGCAGAGTAAAGCACATCTTACTTTAACACTAAGCATCTGTAAGTATCACACCCAGACTACACTGTTCCTAGGCTGCAAATGCTCAACTTCAACAGTATTACAAATTTACATTGCAGGGAGAAATTCCAGGGCAGACTTCTAATTAAACCCTGGAATTTAGTCTAAGCAACCTGTGGAAACCCACGCAGCTCCTAAGCTACCTCACCTCTCCAGCAGAATGTTTCCTTTTTCCTTTGCCTTCTCTCTCTAGGCTGGAGAAAATAAAAAGATACTTTGTGAAGATGAGAACAACATAGAGACCAGCTCTTTCCAGGCTAAGAGCAGAGGCTACTGAGGGCTTCCTTCCTACCAAGTTCTCCCCATCCAAAAACTCCAACATCTGCACACACAACTAGGCAGATTTCACTTTAAATATCAAGGTATCCAAATAAGACCAAAAAGAAGGAAAGTGAACATCTCACACTTGTGCCTACTCTCCCCTTAGCAGAATCCTCGGGTGTCCTGAAAAACAACCAATCCCTTGTTCAGTAAGGAAACTATCCTTGGAGGGCTTTACCAGAACTCTAGGAGTTAAACTGATTAGAAGCAGCAAACAGCTAAAGTTACATATTTGCACTGCAAATCCAGAACACTAAGATAGCAGCTTCTGATGCAGAGGGCGAGTTTCTCCAGAGAAAACATACACCGACAACTTTACAACCTTACCAGCTTCTGCATGCTAGCACCATGGTGTGCAGTTCTAGCTCCCACGGATTCCACTCTCCAGGAGATCCGCAGGTCCATTGCAGCACAGTAAACAAGACTTACTCCTTCCTAGCTTACAGGACCTACAGAAAGAAACTGGAGGCAATTAGGAGTCAGAGCCAAGAGACCCAATTCAGGGAGGAAGAGTGTCACTTGTCATCTCAAGCTCTAGCACTTGTGTCAAAACCCAGGACAGCAGTCCAGAGGAGAGCTTTCTCTTCTGGGCTGTCATCAGCTTCCCACTTGTTTCCAAGAAAGTCATCCACTGCATCTCAAGCTGCCCTCTCATTTATTTTTAACAGATGAGGAAATGAGCCACCTACCTGAGAGCCAAAAATTAATCAACACTGGAAAGCATCAAGCTGCTCAGACAACCGCGAGACAGAAGTTCCAGGAAGCTTGGACTCAGCTTCAAAGCAGAAGACAGAAGGTTTGAAACAGCTTTTCTCCACTGTCTTTTTCGAAGCAACATGCCACTGTTGTAGTGGGGGACACACGGGACCTCCTGACCTGTAGTGAAAGGGCCTGCAACAGCAACTGCAGAAGGTTTCCTCAATAACACTCAAATGCAAAGAAGGGCCCGCGCTACTCTGCTCTTCATTGCTTGCTCAGAAATACCTCAACTAAAGGCCTACAAAAAAGCAGACATATTTCAGTGCAAGTTAAGAAAAACTGCTATGAAAAAAAGTTATGACAAAAGCAACCTATAACGCAGACTTAAACCGAAGTGCCAATCCAAGGCGCCGAGAACTTCAGGCCTTCCTATAAGCAACTCTGTCGTTTGACAAAGAAATAACCCACCAAATTCAACCAGCAACTGAGGGCAAGGCTCAGGGCTTTTGTTTTTGTTTAAGAGATTTATATAAGAGACCATGGTGTGAGGAAAGCAACAAACAGCCTCCTCAGGCACTGCCACACTACCCTGTGCTGATATAACACAACTTAAAGGAAGTCACAGAACCACCATCTGACGGGACATGTCTGAAGACGCATATTACTTATTTAACCACGAAGAGCACCTTACAAGTACGTGCAAGTGCCGGGGAGCACAAGGGCCTGCCATACGATGACAAAACCGACTTCTGGCACCCGC